AGACTGTGGTCTATGCTGCTAGTAGTCCACTATGTGGACCGTCCCAACTGTGAATCGTTCAGGTTGCAGATCACCCCTCTCAGAAATTTTGTCTGACATATTTATGTTTTACAGGATCATATCATGTCAATATTTTAATTTGCTACAAATAATTAATTAATTTAAAAAAAGACCAAATGATTAAAATATAATTATATATATTTATCTGGTTAATAATTATTCCATAGGAAATGAGCATATAGTAAATCTATAGTCATAAAGTTTGAAGCATTTCCTTGGCTTCATACTTTTATGGTAAGAAAGTTTGCTTATCGACCATTCACCAGCACACATATTGCAAGAGGTCAGATAAGGAGAAGAAAAGAAGATTTGCATGTATCTTCAAAAGTGTAAAATAAGATATAATTTTTTTTTAAATAAGAGATAAAATAAGAATTTATTTTAAACTAACAAACAAATACATAATATGTAACTATTACATAAATAATCAAATAAGTTGTATTAAACTCATTTTAATTAAATATTATATTAGCACTCATTGAGCTTTATGCCAAGCTTTCAACAAGGTTACATGTTGAACAAAAAAACAATCTTGCTAAAAAACATAAATAAATTAGATTATGTTCAAATTTAATTCATTTGACATTTCAAATGTTAAAATAGTTCAAATTTATGTAATCATTGACTTAAACAAACTCAAACATGTGTATTAACCAAGCCCAGTTCAAACAATTCATCAAGTGTATTCATTTACTTATAACCATATGATTAATGATAATGAAAAGTTAACCATCAAAATCGAACACATTTGGTTAAATATAAGCCATATTCCTTTGGTTTCCAATCTTTCCAAAAGCTATCAATCACTTTCTCTTCTTTAAGATCACTTTTTTCTTTGTGAACAATTTTAGGAGACTATTTATGATTAAAATCTTAACAAGAGTGATGCCTTAAAAGGCTTAGGTTTGTTAGAAGTAGCTTAGCAATAATTATATAAATTTACTATAAAGAGAAAATGTATATTTGGCTACCAAACCATAACAAAGAAGTGTTGCATAACTTTAAAAATTATAAAAAAATATTAAAAAATAACAATTAAAAAAAAAAACTAATTCAAGCAAACATATATTTTTTTTTGATCGAATGATCAATTGATTTAGGAAAAAATTAGTGATTCAATTCTTAAAATGATTTACTAAAAGTGCTGATTAGCAAATAATTAGAAATACATAATGCTTGATAGATGGGTCAATAGCGGTTTAGGAACATAATTAACGAAGATATATATCCATTAATCAATATAAAATAATTGTAAAGTAGTTAGTATTTTGATTACTTATAGTTTATAATTAAAAATTAAATTAAATTTGATAGCCTTCATTAGATCTAAGATTTCAAGTTATCAAATAATTAAAGAAATACTTCACTTCAATCATAATCATATACCAAAACTTGTATTTCGATGAACCATGATGCAAAATTAAAAAAAAAAATCAATAAATCAATGATATAGGGCCACGCACACTTAATTAATTAATTAACTTGTACCAAATCCAATATTAATTTGAATTTTAATTTAATTTTCTCGCTCGGGCGCTATTTTTACAAATATTATATTAATTCTAACCATATTACAAAAAGTCTCTTTCAAATGTTGAGTAAAGCAAATGGCATCATGCTTTTATGAGGCATAACAAGAATTAAAACTAACAAGAAACCTTCAAAATTGACCCCTTAATACATATAAAAAAAAGAGACATTTATATGCACACCACACAATTCTCATGTATTTACATATCTTGCAGCTAAACATTCATATTTACATAATGAGGCATAACAAGAATTAAAACTAACAAGAAACCCTCAAAATTGACCCCTTAATACATATAAAAAAAGAGACATTTATATGCACACCACACACTTCTGATGTATTTACATATCTTGTAGCTAAACATTCATATTTACATGCATACCGCTCAAGTCTTTAACATCACATAAAAATATATCATCACAACCATCTTTCTAAAAGTGAAATAATGACGACAAGGTGTTCTAAATATAATATGAAATTTTGCGTATTAGATATGTAAATACATAAGAACTATGTGTTATACATGCAAATTTCGCTTAAAAAAAAAAGATTAAATCATCCAAGAAACACCCTCTAGCCTTCTACTCCAACAATCAAATAATTAAATAAAAACCCTCCAATGAAACCATAAACAATACATAAAACTAATCAACCTAAGCTATAATGTCACCATCACTAAATTATACAAAAATTAACCCCTCAACCGACTGAACTTCTTAAAGCATTGCAAGCAAAGGTGCATGTGACAAATGGCAATTTTCCTTTTGCAGTTAACTTTCATTACTATTTGCAAGCGTTATCCAACCAAATAGTCTAATGCAAGAAAATTATGTTTGGCCACCCTCCTTTGGCAATACCTAATCCCTATCCTACTCATAAACATTTTTTTATTATTGTAAAAATATATTTACAACAACCTCCATTATAAAAAATGATAATTTGACATTTGGCCAATGAGTGTGCTTTGAATTTCTATCAATTCTTCAATGCAAAGTTCTTGAGACAACAGGAGTATAAATGAAATGTGGATGAAGATGCAAAAAGTCCATCCTTTTATTAAAAAAAGAGAACAAAATTGTTAAACTCTTAAATGTACTTTGAGATTAGTGTCATATTATAATTGTGCTCATCATAAATCAATTCTGACAGCATTATAATCATATTTATTAGACATTTTTGGCCCAAAGCATGTGATGGCATTCATTAGTAATAATTTCTTTAAATAATCATAGTCATAAGGTAAAATTGTAATTAAAAATAATAATTTCACTCCAAATTTCCTTTAAAATTCTTAATATAATTAGCCTTTCATAGATGAGTTATTGCTTACTGATTAAGAATAGAAAACTTACACATGGATGAGTCAAGTTTAAGCTTCTTTTGTAATATCCATACTTTTGGTCCCTCGGGATGCTAATTTGAACACGACTCTAATCATTAATAAAATATTGGAAAATTTACATAAATATCACATAAATCTTATGTATTTACATATCTAATGGCCAAAGTCTTAAATTTATCCTTATAATAATTTGGTGCCATGAACCTACGCAAGAAAATAGTGATGATGATATATATTTTGATGTGATGTTAAGGATATGAATGGTATGCATGCAAATATGAATCTTTAGAAGTTAGAAATGCAAATACATAAGACTTGTGTGGTATGTGCATAAATGCCCCTAAAATATTGTAAGCCTCAAGATCTGATGCCCGAGTTCAAATCAAACTATAGATGGTATTCTCTATTAGAGAGTTATATAGATCAATGTAACAATTATAATGGATTTTACATGCATACAACCAGAAACATTTCAATTCACATATCTAATGCCTAAAAACTCATATTTAATAATAAAAAATAAAAATAAAAATTCTATTAGTTTAAAGTTTTTTGGAATCTCCTTCTTAAATTTCATATATCTCTTGTTTTTGTAAATAATCAGGCAATGACCTCACAAGCTAAATATGGAGAGTTATAGCTTGAACCACAGATAAGGAAAATGTCTTATAGAATTTACAAGATAAAGAATCAGCATGAAATAACAACTGAAAGATATTGCTATCCATTGGAAAGGGATTGCCACTTAGGATGCATTTCTTAAGAAGAGGTGGTTGTGAGATTATAATCCTTGATTGCAAAGAACACACTTAACATCAACCAAGAACCCTATAGAAATCAGTACATCACATGTTATGAGCAACCTTAGAAGTGTGTAAAGAAAGTTTAATTGAGAAACCTTGGACCCAAACAGGCTTATACCAATCACAAAAGCAATAATTTGTGTATATGTATGAAAATCATAACTCTGTGAGAATAGTGATTGAGTCCAATCGAAAAACAAGAAATAGAACTGCCCACAATTAATTGGAATACTCATAATCAGTTGAATAAGGTAGCAAGACACTAACAAAGAGGTCTCAAAAGACCAAACCACATTAGCCCCAATGTCACAAAGTTTCATATTTTAAGGAACCCAAACTAATCAAAAATATTTTCCTTAATTTTTTTCTTATAAGGAGTCATCATTCAACCAAGGATCAAAGCAAAAAAGACAAATTGTTACTTTTTGTCAGCTGAAAAGTCCTACAATTTCAGTCTTACATAAAACACTAATAACATCTAAAGAAGTGATGTCAAGGCCTCCATTAGATTTAAGAAGAGTAGAAGTTTTCCAATCAATTGAATATAGTTTCTTCTCCAATCCATTATGTCATAAAAAATTACTAATAACTGAAGAAACATATTTCTAACTCCCTTAGAAAAAGTATTGTACTGATCAATTAGCTCACTCAAAGGCTTTGAAACTCATCCTAATCAAGTATATCACAATAGCTTGATCAAAAGTATCTAAAATAAGTCTTAAAGTCCTCATATCTTCTCTGAGATTAGTACAATATTATTTATCAATTTTTTTCGCTCATATTAGAACATATTTCACAATAGCTTGATCAAAAGTATCTAAAATAAGTCTTGAAGTCCTCATATCTTCTTTGAGATTAATACAATATTATTTATCAAATTTTTCGGTCATATTAGAACATATTTAATTAGAACATATTTCATTGTTTTTTGATCCACTACGACCAAAATTTTAAGGGAAATCTACATACATCCAACATAATTCTTATGAACTTACATATATATCAATTACTAAACACATACAAAGTTAATTAGTATGTTGCAATACAATTTTTTTTTTTATTTTTTACAAAAATATTACAAATATTTAAACCATTTACATCTCTAACTCCCTCCCACATGTCCGTTCACCAACCACATCAAACGATAAGCTCACAAAGCCATTCACTCTATATATCTCATGATAGATACATCCCCTTATATACTCATCAATATCAGCCCTTAACTCCTCCTCTCTCCAATCACCACCACCATCATGATCTCCAGTAACTTCACCCTCCCCGCCGCCGCGCCCATCCCCACCCTCTCCAACCACCTCCCCCGCCGTAAAACTCCCGACTGTCGAACTCGCTCTCGCCATCTCCATCTTCATCGCCATCCACTCTCTCCGGCAGCGCCGTCGCCATGGCCTCGCCACGTGGCCACTCCTCGGCATGCTCCCTTCTCTCGTCCTCGGACTCCGCCGCAACATATACGAGCTGATCACCAGCGTTCTGGTGGACCGCGGAGGAACCTTCACTTTCCGTGGTCCATGGCTGACGAACCTCCACTGCGTCATCACCGCTGATCCGAGAAATCTGGAGCATCTTCTAAAGTCCAAGTTTTTGAGTTTTCCCAAAGGAGCTTACTTTGCGGAGGCCGTACGGGATCTTCTCGGTGGCGGAATATTCGCAGCCGATGATGAGACGTGGCGGCGGCAGAGAAAGACAGCGAGCCTCGCGTTTCACTCGTCGGAGTTTAGGGCCATGACGGCGAGGTCTTTGGTTGAGCTCGTGCATCACCGGCTGCTGCCGGTGATCGAGTTCGCTGTCACCGGAGATGCCGTTGTTGATCTTCAGGTATGTTGAGCTTCTGGGGAACAGAAATTCTATGATCATCTTTTCTGTTTTACTAAACTATTAGGGTTTGTAAGAGGTTTTTACACTCGCTTTATGTCCAACTCGTTCAAGTGAATAAGCCTAATAAATATATATATATATATATATATATATATATATATATATATATATATATAAGAAAATTTACATACACAGCACATAATTCCTATGTATGTACATATCTTATATCTAAACTTCCATATTTATATACAAAATATTAGGGTCTTTTTAACCTATGCATGAAATAATATATTTTATTTTTTAAAAATAATAATAATATAATATTAAAAATTTGACTTATGTGTGGAAATATAAAGGTGTAAATTTTGAATATTAATTTGTTATTGAATCATACTGAAGGAATTGAGTGTGAGATAAGAGAGAAAGCTAGAGAGAAACACATATAAATCACACCCTTGATTCACCCTGGTATTGATGCTTCTAATGGAATAATTGGGCTTATGAGTTTCCAATCGGCCTTCTTTGACACATCTTGTCCCTTTGAGATTCGTTTTTGGCACTTTTATTGTATATGGTAAGTGTGAAAATATGTAAATATATAAGAATTGATGATATATTTTATATGCTTTTTTGAAAATAGTGGGGTTTGGAAAAGTTGTAACTTTTGTCAGATCAAACGTCCCAACAACAGTCCCAATACGAATAGACTGTTGTGAATGACATGTCGACTCATCAGAACTGTCGTCTAACAATTCCTCCAACCAGAGTATGTTCACATAAGAAAAAGGAAGCATTTTTTTAACAATGGTGGTCTTACGTACAGGATGTGTTGCTCCGGCTAACCTTTGACAACGTATGCATGATCGCCTTTGGCATCGACCCGGGATGCCTCCGGCAAGGCTTGCCGGACATACAATTTGCGACGGCTTTCGAGGAGGCGACCGAGGGGACGGTGCAACGATTCGTGATGCCGACGACGGTCTGGAAGGCGATGAGAACGCTCGATATCGGGAGTGAGAGGAGGCTGAGGAGGTCGATCATGACGGTCGACGCGTTCGCTTACGACGTGATAAGAAAGAGGAGAGAGGAGATGAAGTCGACGGTGGCGGGGAGATCAGATCTGTTGACGGCGTTTATGAAGGAGAAGGACGAGGAAGGAGGGAGGCATTCGGATGAGTTTTTAAGGGATGTGTGTGTGAACTTTATATTGGCGGGGAGGGACACGTCGTCGGTGGCGCTGACTTGGTTATTTTGGTTGTTGGAGAGGAATGGGAGGGTGGAGGAGAAGATAGTGGAGGAGGTGAAGGGGATAGTGAAGGAGAGAGGGGAAGAGGAGAAGGTTAGTGGTGGTTGGTCTGAAGTGGTTTTCCGGCCGGAGGAGGTGAAGAAGATGGAGTATTTGCAAGCAGCGATATCGGAGGCACTCCGGTTATATCCATCCGTCCCTATTGACCACAAGGAGGTATTTTATTATTATTATTATTATTATTATCTTTTTAATTTAACTTTTTTTTTATTTTTTTGCATATTTACAGATCTACCATGCCTTTTCTCTATTTTTCAAATTATCACTAAAAAATACAAAAATCATGACAAAACCACACTTCATATTTCTCATTTTTATCAAATTCTAAATGTTTTGATGGTGGCACATGTAAATGCATGAGTTCTAGAGTTCCTAAATATCACTTGGGTATTCCATTTGTAAATAGTGATGTTTTACATGCGATGGATGTTAATTTGGGGCAATTATATACATAGCGTGGATCATACTAGATAGAAAAATTTTGTTGATTATGCAATGTTCTCATTATGCTAAAAAAGTATTAACACAAAAAATAAATACTAATATATGAATAGGATTTTCAAACATAGATATCGTCTTCTCCAAGTGTTTACGTCTATATAAGCATGTATGTTTGCAATGCATAAATATATATAAACACATCTTACCATACATACATGCATGCATGCACACATACATATACATCAAATTAAAATCAGGAAGATTTACATACATAACATTCAATTCATATGTTCTTACATATCTAATTCTATATATATATATATATATATATATATAACTTTATCTATGCATGAAAACAATTATTAGTTTTAATTTTCAGGAGTTAAATTGGTGATATTTTTGTTGATGAATGATTCATATGGTATAAGTGTAAGAAATAAAATTTAAAATTTGCTTTTAATAAGTTAAAATAATGGTTTTTTATGTCTATAGAAGTTTTGGATGTTGTATATGGATGTAAATATGTGAAATTTATGTATTAAACATGCAAACACATAAGAATGTAAATTCCCCAAAAATTATTATAAAATGAACTATTAATAAATGAGAAAAATGCACAGACATTAAGAATGTGTTTGAGGTGGCTGCTGCTTTTTGAAGAAACAACAATGCAATTAGTTCCAATTAGAAAGTTATTGTTCGAACAACACTCAGTCAATTTGAATAATATGTTGTGATGTGCATGTTTTTTATTAAAATTACATTTATATATATATAATATATATATATATATATATTCCCGAGTCACTTTATAAACTATAACCAAGTCCATCTGCAAATGAGCTTACAGGTGATTAAAGATGAGATTTTTCCCGACGGAACAGCGCTGAAGAAAGGAACGAAGGTGATATACTCAATCTACAGCATGGGAAGAATGGAGAGCATATGGGGAAAAGATTGCAGAGAATACAAACCAGAACGATGGCTGAGAGACGACGGGCGTTTCATGAGCGAATCAGCGTACAAATTCGTCGCCTTTAATGGCGGACCCAGGCTTTGTTTGGGTAAAGACTTCGCTTACTATCAGATGAAGTTCGTCGCAGCCAGTCTTCTTCTTCACTATCATGTCACTGTCGTTAAAGGCCATCCTGTTCTCCCTAAGTTAGCCCTCACCATGTACATGAAGCATGGCCTCAAGGTTAAACTCACGAGGCGACATGATTGAGCTTAATAATAATGATATATGTATGTGTATGTTAGATATAGTGTGCAGGGTAATTCTTTCGATTTCCTAGCTTGACTATTTAATTTGTATTTCATTTGTTTTTCAGAAGAGATATCGATTGTTATTTGTTGTATTGAATGCTGAGGATTATGTGAAGTAAAAAACATGTTTTTATTATAATTTAGCTATAATTAGATTTGCAGTGTCAGGATATATGCTGGAAATCTCACCTTCTCAGTTTTAAATTATCTTCACTTGATGCAGAAGGGGTTCTTGATTATATTCATTATGCTTTTTTGGTGACTGTTAGAGTTTAAATTGTCAGGTATGGCTCGTATATCAGATAACGGACAGTTGTTAGAGTTGAACGGAGCGAGTCAGCGGAGTGGAGCGAAAGCATCTGTCTAATTGGGGGAGTTTCGTTACAACATAAAAATATGGATATTCAGAATTAATTGAATTTGCTTTCTTGACAGATCTTGAATATGAGGTTTCTGAAACCTTGAAATTTTAAAGAAGCTATTTCCTTCCTGTAAGGAACCTAATTAAGCTTACTGATTTGTGTGGATGATATGTACTTTTGTCCTGTAAAGAAAAAACTGAAATAAATATGATTAAACAAGTGCTAAAATATGAATTTGATATGAAAGACTTTGGTTATGATATGAGGAATGAAAAATCGGAGGGATGGAAAAGCTAAAGAGTTATTTCTCTGTCAAAAAGGTCATCTTCAGAAGGTGTTGAATTTTCAATGGCAGGTTCTGAAATTGTTAATCTACCCCTTGGAAATCATTTTAAACTCTCTTCAATTTTTTGTCCTAAACCTGATATAAATATTCAAAAAAAATGTCTAAAATTCCTTATGCTAATGTCATTGGTTTTTTAATGTATGTTATGAATTTAAATTCTTGGGCATCTCTGCATGCGGTGTCCGATCCTGGCCGTAGATCGCGGTGATCTACGGTCAGGATTATTTCCATTTTTTTATAAAAAAAAAATTAGGTGGGGCCCACCGAAATACATCGGGACCGTAGATCAGGTGATTTACGGTCCGGATCGGACACCGCACGCAAGCTGCGTGTGGCGTCTCATCCGTATGGAATAATTTTTCTTGTTCGAGACCTGGTTTTGCTTATTGTTGAGGAATTAAGGCAAAGAAAGCCCAAGAATCATAAAAATTAAGAAGAAAACAAAGAGATTTAATGAGGTTTGGCAATTTGTCTACGTCATTGGGAGCAGAGCAGCGACTTCTTTAGATTTCATGAAAAATAATACAAATTCCCTTTATAGTTACAATACAGCATATATAAATATATATATATAAATATAACCATGGTGTACAATTTGTCATTACAAAATTACCTCTGTGTCGTACCGCGGCGGCGTTGCCCCTGCACCCCCAACCCGCATAACAAAACTCCCCACAATTGGGCAGATGCTGGAGCAGAATAGAGCGAGCGAGCGGAGTGGAACGGAAGCATCTATCTCTTATTTGGTACATGAGTGATATCAAACACTTATTTTGTTAGTGTTTTAAACAGGGTTCTGTCCAATCCTGGTTTTGAACATTGGAAGGCTGTAAAATGGCTTCTTCGATATAGTCGGGGAACTTTGGATATAGGTATTGCTGATTTTGTTAACATTGTAGGTTTTGTTGACTCAGATTAGTTCTATTTGTAATTTTGCTTGGTTCTATTTGTAATTTTTCTAATTTCAGTTTTTATACTGACAGCGACTTTATATATGTTTTAAAATCTAAGTGATTAATACTGCTGCTAAAAGATTTAATTCCTCAGCAACTGCACCAAAAACTTAATAACGGTTATAGATTTGATAAAGATGTATAAGTCACACTTATCAACGCAAGTATACGTATCGCTCAAGTAATATAAGGCTCTAATGGAGTCCTAGATATCGATCCCACAGAGAGTAATATTAAAACTACGAACTAAAATTTTAGAAAAGAATATACTTCAACTTGTTTATCTGTCACTAATAGGCAATTGAAATAAATATATAATTCTAATAACTCTTAAATAACTAATTATACAAATAAGTTTTTAATCTGATATTCAATATATAAGAAAACATCCTTCCCCTTGTCAAGAAATTATAGTGAATGGATAATGTGAATCAGTTCAAATTGTATTGTGTCAAATAGGAGCATACCTATTCTTTACCCATTGGTCAAGGTATAAAGAACATTGACTAATCATACGCTTGTTTACTGAATCTGCGGCTAGGCTGGGAGGATATTGGCTCTCACTTCGGAGCCCCCACGTTCCCCGATAGGACCGAATTGGGGATTTTAGTCTGTCACTCTAAAATCTCCAATTCTACGCCCGATAATTTTATTTCCCTATTTATTAGCACCCAACTTCCAAGGGCTTTGACCTCCCTGAATCTTGGATGTAATTTTCACTTTAGTTGTAAAACTCAACATATTTTAACAAATCAATTAGCCAGATTTAAATTAAATTAAGATCGAAGTGAAAAGATCATCACAATTTCTTTAACATTTTCATGACTCAACTAATTCAAATCGCGACTTCACAAATCTCAAGACAAGGAGAAAGACAGAGAAAACTACTCATAACTCACGGGGAAGACACAACAAAACTCAAAATTCATATATAAAAGCAAAGTTATACAACTACAATAAGTAAATACACTTATCTCTAATTTCTCCCCAAGCAAACTCCTCAAAGTTCTTCTGAATCTCTTCATTTCTTTACAGTACACAGAATTCATCTTCGAAGCGGCAAGGAGAAATAAATCTCTCACTTTCCCTCCACTCTTACAATCTCTCGAAGAATTCCTCACAATTAGACTCTCTACACTTTCCTAATACTTAACACACACTTAACACCCACTTCACACACTTATTTTCGCCAAAAGCTTCTTTTAAAAGTTGTGGATGAGTTTTCTCAAGAGTTGTTTAAGCATCCGTCAAAAATTCGTCCTCATCCAATGCATTGTTGGACATAACCGCTGATCTCGCCGTCGGTGGCCTCGAGGGCGTCGTCAACGGGCCTTCTACATTATTATATCTAGAGTATTAGGAAATTCTCGCCGTCGACGCCCTAGTTCAAATCTTCACATTTTGGTTCTTTTCGCTCCAAATTCGTTATTTTTTGCAACTTTTTGTTCCAATTACCTTAATTGATCATTCCTGTGACAAAACATCAAAAATATATATCTTTAAAGTGCAATATCATCAAAAATAATATAAAATAGGTATGAAAATCTCAACTTATTTTCTTTTGGTCATATACTAGCAATTTTCTATTTGTTTGAAATGTATAGAACTATTAGACATTGCAAAAAACACCTCTTGAATTCTTCTAATTGAGAAGTCTTTGGGTTTCTACTATCAGCTTTCAACGGCTATTTCTGTATTCTAAGACTTTCCATTCTTATCCAAACAAGAATTTATCCCTTTTGAAACATCTAGTTTGCTATCTGGATTTTCAGCTATTATGAAGCAATTTTTTAAAAAACTATTATGAGTGTCCTAAATATTTTTCTTACAAGTTAAGATTATCACACTTTAAGAAATATAATTATAAGAATAGCTTCGGTCCACAAAAAAAAATTAAATAATCAGTATAAAAATAACGGCCAGATAAAAATATCGTGATAGTCTGAAAAGTGGAACCGCAATAAAATCACCTCAAATATGAGAAAATATTACGTCTGTTACAGGATGATGACATGGTTTCATCTTCCGCACATACGAGAGTGTCTGGACGTAAAATTTTCTACTCAAAAAGACCCTTTGTGTAATAAATTAAATTTTGATGTCGGACATTAGAAATTTTTAACAGCTATTCCAATTATTCTCCATTGGATTCCTTTGGTTTTAAGTTTTCAAATGAATTTGAGTTATTATCAAATTCATTAATAAGTTTATAAACTGAAGTTCAGATTTGCTTTAAAGTCCATATTTTTATCTGTTTTTACATTAGATTAAACTATTGTTTGAATCTATATTCAGAAGTTTTATATAGTCTATTAATATAGAATAAAAAGTATCCTGATATATATATATATATATATATATAAAAAGTTAAATTATTATTTTCTCCACGATCAAGTTTTTGGTGCTATTGTAAAGTAAGAAAACATAAGTGTATATATCTGTGTGTGTGTGTTTATTTTTTTTTTTATAAAAGATTGACAATATTTTGTGTCTATCCACCCCATACGTGTTAATTCGACCCAGGTAAATTTGAACATTAGACAAAGGGGACTTGCGCCGAAACTGACATCCAGCAGGCCACCGGTTGCAGTCATATATTACACACACACACACACCAAGATTTATGATCAATTAAAATTTTAAATTAAAAAATAGAATAAAAAAATATTAAATTCTATTTAAATGAATATTTTAATATAAAATAATAAGATTTAAATCTCGCCCCTACTGTCAACATTCTACAGCTGCGTAACTAGGCTTGTTAAAATGCATGGCTTGTTGTTCACAAACTCGTGTTCGGCTCGCTAAACAAACAAGCTAAACGCAAATAAAATTTTTTCGCTTACGAGCCATACACGAACAATGATATTTTTAACAAGCCGAACGCAATTCAAGCCCGTGCTCGCTCAAACTCAGCTCACTCGTACCCCGAGGCGTAATCACCCCCTTTACATAATCATAAAAACCACCATTAAAACTAAATTGAGGTTGCACTCATACTGTGTAGGAATGAAATTACATTCTTATATATTTACATATTTAACACTTCAATTTTATTTATTTTACATCTATACCATTTAAATCTTTCAAATCACCCAAAAAAAAAAAAATCTTCATTTACTTTTTAGAAAGCGACATATATCTTTTCATGCATTAAAAAAAAGTGATCTATAAATTAAAATTTAAACTTAAGTGTTAGATATATAAATAATTAAATGTACTTAGGATATACTAGCTCCAAGAAAAATAAATTATTTCTTTTTAATAAAGGAGGCATTTACATAAAGACCACCCAATTCTTTTGTATTTACATATATAACACTTTTACCACCCAATTCTTCTGTATTTACATATATAACACTTCACCTTTTCATATTTATACCACCCAAAGCTATCATATGACATCAAAAATAATATTACGTTTAAAAATTTAAATGCATGATATGTAAATATGTTGAAATTGAGTGGTATTTATGTCAATCATCTTTAAAAATTATAATAAAAAAAATTACATTTCACACAAAAATCCTAAGTTTCTTGTTTATAATATTAAGTTAAAAATCAATGAGTAATTATGATAGAAATATAACTTGTTTTTTTTAAACAATTTATCATTTAGAATATAAAGCCTTAAATTGTCAAAGCACATGTATGATTAAATATAATATGGATAGCAACTTATGTAAATGATTATAATCACACATAAATAAATTGAAAATAATTTAAATTATTGATGGATTATTTATAGAAACTTAAGTGTTCTAAAAAATCATTAGATAGTTTTGTAAGCTTAAAAAATTAGACTTAATTAATTTCTCATTTTCACTTGCACTCTCATGATTGCTAAAAATATATTAAAATTGATGCGAGCTAGAAAATTCGTGGCGATAGAGTAATGGATTATCGTTTTAGCATTACACGAGAATTCAATACACACAGATAAAAGAAAAGAAGCACCTCGAATTTTTAAATGGAAAACGCTTTAAAGGGAGAAAAACTACGGGGTCTAGCCCAGTTGAAATAATTCACTATGAATGATGAGTACATGTGTCAATTTTTCTCTTAAATTAGATAAAATGGAATTACAAAACTATATAATTATAATCTGGCTGAAGTTCTAGGAGAAACCAGGTTACAAGGGTGATTGTTGATTGTTGTGGAGGTAGTAGTCTGTCGTAAGTGTTGTAGATGGTTGCTCCAGAAAAACTACGGGTCATCTGTTTGACCTTCTAAATGTGTCCATAAATATTCCAAGCATGGTTTAATGACTTGATCTAGGCTTGATTTGACT